GAGGTGGCCGCTCGCCGGAGCCCAGCCGGACCCCCTTCGTCCTGCTCGAGCGGGAAGGCGAGGCGGTCCCGTGGGAAGCCCCGGCCGCGCTCGGAAGGGCCGCCGGACCTCCGGGAAGCCGGAGGGGATGCTCGCCTTGCCGGGGCTCCGTCGAAAGCCGGGCGAGCGGAGACAGCGAGGGACGGACCCGGAAAGGACACGGACTGGGCGGCGGGCAGAGAAATCACCTCCAGGGCTCTTTCTCCTCTACTGTATTAAATCCAAATGTTCCTCTTTGTTTGAATATCCCTTCAAAAAAATTTTCCGGTGACCGAGGGAGGAGCGGCCGTCTTCCTCTTTCAGTTTTGTTCTACTATGTCAGTTTTAGTTAGCGGTAACAGGCATCCCTTGGATAATTCGGGTGTATTTGAAAACACTGAAAGGGAGGAAAGACGGGCAAGAGCAGCGGCAGACGGGGAGAGCTTGGCGTTGCTCTGCCTGGGGGCCTTTCTGGAGTGGGATGATGCGCCCCCCTGCCCCTCCCGCGCACAGGTCCTGGGAATGGAAGGGAGACCTCAGGGGATAGAAGCGGTGCTGCTCTGCCCCCCCCCCCGCCCCCGCCTGATCTGGGGCTCGGGAGAGGAACTGAAAGGAATCGTCATAACTTGCCAACCAGACAGGCTTTTGGGGGGGGGGAGCGAAAGCGGAGCTCTTTCTGACTGGTGCACCCGCTGCCGGGTCTGATCTCCTTTTGGTCCACTGCTAGAACATCTAGTGGGTCACAGAAGTTGTGCAGGAGGGCACTACGCCCCCTCCCTCGGGCCCTGGGTCTTCCTGCCCCAGGAATGAGCCATGTCCCTCTGAGCTATGACTTAGCCCAGCTTGAGATCCTCACAGCTCAGGGTTGCCCTAAATGCCTGCAAACAAGCCCCACCCCCGCCCCCGGGGAGGAGGGTCCCCTTCCGATCATGGCAGGCAGCCAGTTTCTCTGACAGAGGCATCGGTGGGATGCGACACAGAAAAGGTGGAGGAAGGAGGTGGGGTGGACTTTTGTTTGGGCTGAGCCAGACAGCCTAGAACCAGCCAGAGCAGCTGACCTCTTGAGGCAAAAGGACAAAATGACATCCATCGGGCCCTCTTCCAACCGCTGTCGAATCCCCCTTCAAACGGGGGGCATCCTGGACTGCACCTGAGTACAGCAGCCTGTCTCAGAGGATGCAAGGCAAGCCCATCCAGCTGTGCTCTTCCGCACCTGACGGCTGCTTCCCAGTCCTCAGCATCTGCAGCCCAAGGCAGCCTTCTCATTGGCCTAAAGGGGAAACCTGAGTGCAATTTTGCACTTTCTGTTCTGAATTCTCTCCCCCTATCTTTTATATAAATTGTGGGTTGGTCTGTTCTTTGTGTTTTGGAAGTCTGTGCCCAGAGACCAGTCTCTGCAGCTTTTCTACCTTGAAGTAACTTTTGCTTGAATGCATTGCACTCATTTATTTTAAGATGTAATAAAGTCTGGTTCATTCTCAGAAGTCATCTAGCCTGCCCGTAGCCTTCTCCATGGTTCACATGCCAAACAGTTCCCAGATTAAGGAAGGGGGAAGCAAATCACTGTGGCTGGAGTCTTTTTAGGGTTCCCCCCCCATATCATACTTCCCAGGTCCAGAGAAGGAGACGAAATTCCACAATAGCGTTCCTCCCATCTGTTGGGATGCAAGGACTCTCTTCATCTGGGATGGATAAAGGGGGAGAAGGTGGGGGTGATGACTTCTAATTTAAGATGAGAAACCAGTAAATTCCTCTGTCAGCTGTTCATAGAGGCTGGCTGTGAAATAAGCTTTCAATTTCCAGAGATGTGGAATCATGTGAACTGGTTGCCGCAAAAGCAAAGTAATCTTGTGGGACCTTTAAAAGCTATGTGTTATCAGAGTTATAGGGCTTTCAGGGCAAGCACGATGTTTAAGGAGTGGTTTTCCCAGGGCTGGTCCCCTAAGTCTATTTCCATGGCTGAGCAGGGATTCAAACCCAAATCTCCTGAGTCCGCATCCATCACTCTATCTACTCTACTATACGTACTAGAAAGCTTTATTTGACAGATGTTTTGGCAGGCTTGAACCAGTTCATAACATGCTGCTCACAAAAGCTTCTGCTAAGTAAAACTTGTTGTTCTTTAAAATGCTACAAGACCTTTTTTTCCCTCCTTCACATTTCCAAAAGCTATTCAAGAGGCTTCTTACAACAAACCAGTCAACCTATCTCCCTCAACTGGCCACAAGTGGAAGCACACCCTCAGAGCGGCTCTGAGCAAGAGGCTTTATGGAGGAATCTTCTTACTCCCTCTTTTCTCTCAAAGAGAGGAAGAAATCAATGAAAAGCAGGCAATATAAGGAATTGTTCTTCTTACTACTGCCATCAATCTGCATGTGGCAATCCATACAGGTACAGCAAAGAGAGAGTTGGTGTAGCTATACTTATCCAAGAGCCATTGTGATGTAAAGGCTGGCTTGAAAGGCTAGGACTGGGCTCAGATCAACCACAGACATTTGTGGGCAATGGTAAAACCACTCCATATATATCTCGCCTATTTTGAAAACCCTATTAGGGTCATGTAAGTCAGAAGTGATGGCATGTAACAGCAACACACTTATCTAGGTGAACTTTCAATAGGGGAATGCTTCTTCGAATACCTGTCCCAAATTAGGATCAGTGACTATGCAGAATGGTATTTCAGAAGTGTATCATTACACCATGATATCATATACATATGATGTGAATCATCACATATATCATATTATATAGAAAACTCCAGATCCCTTCGTATTGTCACATCATCTGGACAATTTTTCGCCCCAGTAAAACCATTCACAAATTCAGCTGCCAGTTATCAGGTCTGCAATGATTAAGTACAGAGAAATCAAGGCATAACCATGTGTAACTGAACCAAATAACAAAACAGTTCACATCCTGCTCTTCCTACAGCAAGAAAAGGGAGATTGCTTCTCCCACTGGTTCTGGTTGCAGCAGCAAAACCTCTTGTTCTCTTTTAGTGCTTATTGTGGCCAACAAATCAAGCTGGTGCAGTGAGAGAGAATGAGCATTGCTATGGTCAAATGGGCCTCACACTACAAAATAAATCACATCCTGTCTCTGTCAGATTAACTGATTAATTCCTTCAACTCAAAAACACTGAATCGTCTGAGTGCCTTAACTTTGTCAGAGAAATATATCCACTTTGGACCCTTGTAAGGAACTTGCAAGTCTCTCTCTCTATTTAGTCTGTGACATGCCTTATCTGACTTTTTACTGCCATCCCTTTACACACACACACACACACACACACACACACACACACACACACACACACACACACACACACACACACACACACACACA